CTCAAATCCTCTCCCAAATCTTGCAAATCTGAAGAATTTGTCTGTGGATTTCGAAGTCAAACCCTCCCTCAAGGTAATCTTCTCTGATCTCCTTGTTTTGATCCAAGTAATGTTATCAAATTGCTCATTTGTTGCTAGTTTGGGGAAACCCTAGTTTTGTTTGGATCTAAAGATTTGCATGGAGATGTGAGATGTTTGTTTGCCAATTTCCTATGATTAGGCTTTGTTAGTATGTTAGGGTTATTCTTATGGGTGTTCTTATGTTGGTGCTGGGGTTAGGTTTAGGGCTAGGGTTATGCTTTTGGTTAGGGTTATGGTTAGGGTTAGGGTTGTTGTTTCATATATATATTAGGGTTTGTATCCTTGGATTAGTACTCATGGAAGCAATGTTACCTTGTGTTCTTTGAATGCTTATATTGATGGAAAGAACATGTGTGTTTGTTCATCATGGGGACAAAGACGCCTTCTTGAAAGGCAATATTGAATCGGACCCGGATGAGTTTGACATGGTGTTTGATAGTAGTCCTAGCTATGCGGAGCTCTTGCAACAAGTTAGGAAAGATTTGAATTGGATGGACCCTAATGATATCGTTGAGTTGGAAGGAAGGCATAATGTTGGTTTTGAAATGCACATCCGTTGGAAGACAATGCGTGTCAACTCGGAGCAACGTTGGGTTGCATACAAGGAGACGGTGGCCAAATCACTAGACAAGGCTGTTGAGTTATTTGCAACGAAGAAGGTTGATTCAAGGTTGCATTTGGACTTGAACCAGAGCCCCTCCCCTTCGGTTGCTAGTATCCCCCCACCCTTGAAGCGAGATGAAATTGTTGAACCTCTTTTGACCCAAGAAGTGAGGCCAATATTGAGCCCTTTACAAGCAACCAAGATGAAGCTTTGCAAGAGGAGAATGATGAGTATGCGGATGATGACAATGAAGTTGATCTCCATGACAACAATGTGGGTGATCTCGACAAATATCATTTGCAAGAGACAATGGACCATTCCATCCCTTTTTCCCATGCATATGCATCGGACTCGGATGACGATGGTCCCGATGAACAAGTTGATGCGGAGGGGTTCACGGTGAAGGAGGCCGAAGCTTTCGAGAAGGTATTCGGTCATGATCATCGGACTACATTGTTCAAGGATGTTAGTCTCGTGGATGAAGCCGTGGTAGATGGTGTCCAATGTATATCTGTTGGGGTTAGGACAAGCTCTCACCATGATTTGGGAGATGACAAGAACCGGATTGCAAAAGGGTCTAAGTTCGAAACCTTCTTGGAATTGAAGATGTGGCTCGACAACTACTTGGTTATGCATTATCGTCCACACAAGGTGGTGCACCCGGACGTCGATGTGCGCTACATGGTTGCATGTGCATGTGAAGATGAAATATGTCCGTGGATTGTGCGTGCAAGACCATGGAAAGGAGGTCCCACTTGGCACGTAGTGAGTTGTGTGCCAACTCACATGTGCCAAGGCAAAAGGGTGGATGGCAAGATTGTGTCCCAAGACCACAAACAACTCACGTCCGAGTTCATCACTTACAGGCTCTCCAACTCAATATCCACACTTCCAACAATGAGCATCCAACATGTCATTGACCTTGTGAAAGCCATCTTTCATTATAAGGTGAAGTACGGTAAGGCATGGAAGGCGAAGCAAGCCGCATTTAAGATGTTGTATGGTACTTGGGAGGAAGCATACAACTGAATCCCTAGGTTGTTGTTAGCCATGGCCACGACAAACCCGGGCATGGTTCATGTGGTCGAGCCTCATGGGAACCAAACAACGGTTCATGAAGGAAGGAAAGTCCGAGTATTTGGTCGTGCATTTTTGGCGTTCGAGCAATGCGTGAGGGCTTTCGAACACTATAGACCGGTCATCGCCATTGATGGCACGTTCTTGATCGGACAATACAAGGGCACCTTGTTGGTTGCGATAGCAAGTGATGCCAATAACTGGGTGTTGCCATTGGCATTTGCTTTGGCTGAGGTGGAGAACAATGACAATTGGGAGTGGTTTTTGCGTCTTTTGAGGACGAAGGTGTTACCCGTTCAGAGGGAAATTTGTGTCATATCGGATCGGAATCAAGGTATTCTTAACACGGTGGAGATTGACATTCCCGGGCATGCTCCGTTGCACCATCTATAGTGCATGAGGCACTTTTGTTCGAACTTCTATAGGGCATGTGGCCTTAAGGAGTTGGCCGATGATCTTCAAGATTGTTGTCTCGCTTTCTCCGACAAGCGCTTCATCACTTTGTACAACAAATTGCTTGCACACAAAAAACTTGATACCGGGGGTCAAGACTTTCTCAATGGGCACATTCAATACCGGAACAAGTGGGCACATGCTTTTGATGAAGATGGCCAGAGATACGGTCAAATGACAAGCAATATGGCCGAATGCTTCAATAGGGTGCTCAAAGGTGCACGTGGATTACCCGTGACGGCAATAGTTCAATACACATTTGACAAGATGAATGCGTACTTTATAAAGTACTCGATGGAAACGAATGCACAGATAGCGGGTGAGAACCCGCGCAAGTACAAGTACAATTTCCCACCCAAGGTTGATGAATGGTTGGTATTTCAATCACGGAAGGTGGACTCAGAAGAAGCTATATTATATGAAAACAAAGAGTGGAAGTACAAAGTGAAAGAGCCAGGAGGAACCACAAACGATGGCCGCCAACATGGAGGTCGTGCTTTCAAGGTGTCGTTAACACAATGTGATTGCTCTTGCGGGAGGCCATCGTTGCTTCATCTTCCATGCTCACACTTGTATACCATCGGTCGCGTTAGGAATGTGGACATCAATCACCCACACACCGTGAGGGAGTCGGAGTTCTCAATCATGACGGTCAAGAAAACATGGGCTCCCCGCTTTCACCCATATCTTGACCAATCACAATGGCCAGAGTACCATGGTGTTCAACTATGGCCGGATCCGGAGTTGAAGGTTGTTAAACGGGGTAGACGTAAGACAAAGCGTCTTAGAGGCGACATGGACGGATGGGGCCATGGTGGCCGCCGTGAAGCGGGCAACGACCAATTCCAAGAGCCTCGTGAGAGCTCCTGTTGTGGGGAGTGCAAAGGTCATGGCCACAACAAAATAAAATGTACAAAACCAAGGAAAAGGTCCAAGAAAAATGATGCAAGCACAAGCCAACAAGGAGCTACAGAAGGAAGCCAACCAAGTGGTAGCCAACAAGTGCCAAGCCAACCAAGTGGTAGCCAACAAGTGCCAAGGCAACCAAGTGGTAGCCAACAAGTGCCAAGCCAACCAAGTGTTAGCCAAAGAGGATCTAGGCAACAAAGAGGTCGGCAACTAGGACTTACAAGAGGCCGTGGTGGTGGTAGAGCTCGTGGTGGTGGTGTAGGCCGTGGTGGTGGTAGAGCTCGTGGTGGTGGTCTTGGCCGTGGTGATGGTCTTGGCCGTGGTGATGGTCTTGGCCTTGGTGGTGGACTTGGCCGTGGTGATGGACAGGGACAAGGTCGTTATAGAGGAATGTTTGGATACCTCGATGGACCATTTCCGTATGTTGCTCACTAACTATAATGTTCCATATGTTCTTCTTTTTCATATGTTCTTGTTGCACATGTTCTTCCATTTGTTTTTA